GGGGGGGGTGAACTCAAAAACAAAAGTGCAAGAAATGCATTAAAAAATATACTTAACAATGCAAAGAAGTACACAGAAATACACCCAAATACACGTCAAAAATTTAAAAAGAAAAATGCAAGGGAAATAGAAGAAATACACTCGAAGCGTACACAGAAATACACGAGTTGGTTCCTCCTTGGCACACAATAGTTGTCGTAATTCAATTTAGTGTCATTGGTGTCCAATGTCAGATGCCCAATGAAACGAGAGCAAACATTGGTGCTTGTTGAATCTTCGTCCTCAACTTTGGTGTTGAGGGTGAAACTCCAACAAGAACAGATGTGCACGGATAGGCACAGACGTTCCATACAACATTGAGAAATGGTACTATTTGGGAAAGGTAGTACAAGCTTCTCCTGCCTTACTGGTCGGATGAATGTACAATGTCTATGCTCGCCCTATGGCAATTGTTCTCATCGTTATGGTCTAGAATCAGCCATCACCTTGAAACTTGGCAGCTACTATGACAGCGCGTCCAGGCGAGAGAGGATCGGCCCTCGGCCCGGCTGGTGACAGGGCCGTGTCTTGTTTCCCGGAGCAACAGCACGGCTAGCTAATCATGGCCCAGCAGCGTGTTCGCAGCATCAGACAAGGGCGGCGCGACACGCGTGCGGACGCCCAGGGGTCCGCGACCCTCACGCCTCGGCGTGACGCGAACGCTCTTGGACCCGAATCGACGGACCAGAGCGTGGACACGAAGTAAGTCGGTTCCTTGTATATTTGTACAAAGTTAACCATCTCGCGATTAACGTCTGCACTGAGAAAATGTTTTAGTCCTGGGCGCTGGACTTTTATTCCCCAAACCGAAAGTTTTTGATGCACTAAACAATTTGCTCTAAGGACAAAAGTTTTGTTGTCTATCCTCACATATTTATTGCCTCTCGCCAAAGTTTCTGATCGCGGGAACTAAATGTTAAGTTCTGGGATCAAAATACGACGCAATACACAACTGTCTTGCGTGATTTCACAAGCGCCGCAGCGCTGGTCTATCTTTGACGGAGGACCGACACAGATGCGGCATGCCACGGGGCGTTGCAAGTTTGTTTTTTCATACATCGTGTCGAGTGTTTGCAGGTGTTCAAATTAGGAGTACTCCAAAGAGTCAGACTGCAATCAGGCGATGCCATCTGGTCGTGTCGTGTTCAGAGCGCGGTGTTAATCTTTTCAATCAAACACTTGCAATTACCTCAATATTCATTGAAACACATCATCAGGCACTCGGTGTCATAAACTTGCCAGATACCAACGTGGAATTTAATCTGGTATATCTGCGCCTAGCTTGCTGCAGCGCCGCAGGCATAGGCAGCCCAACGTGCGCGGCTCATGCCTTCGCTGCCTATCTGCGCGGCGGGAGTGGGTGAGGAGGGGGCAGGCGCGGGCTACCTAACGTGTCTCTGTGGTGAGATTCGATGTGGTGGAGGGAAAAGGGTGGAGGGGGAGTAGCATCCAAAAGATACGGTGATAGAAGGAAGCGATTGGTGAGTTGATTTAATGTTTACTGATTAATGTTGCACAGGCAACGTGCGTCACACACGAGAACACGCACACGGTCACGAAAACGTTGCACAATTTAATAACTTAATTAATTAATACTTTGTAGTTTACATTGCATGTTTAGTAACAACTAAAGACACCACAAATTCACACACGCACAGAGATACATATATAACACAGTCACTCCCACGAATTGGGAAAAATATAACGTAATGAGATTTGTCCCACAAAATTCTTAGTCATTAGGAAAGTATAATTTTTCACAAAATTCACCCGGCGTATACAAAAAAAACCTACTCGTTGAAAAAATAACGAGAGCAAAAGGTTGTTTGTTGCTGTGTTGTTGATATTTTTTCTTTCCGTAGAAAGGGCTGATCTATGTACCAGCTGATCTCATGAACATCGTAAATGAAAACTTGAAAATATACTTTCAGAGAGTCACCCACCAAACGAGACACAACAACAAGCCCACGACAGGTAACTTTATCCTTTTTTTTTGTCTTAAAATTTTCTCACAACAAATACTTTTGGCTCTTTTCAAGAGTCGATTTTTGCTTGAGAATCATGATTGACTAGCATATTTCCTGCATCTTGTTTGTGCAGTACATCAGTTCTCTGAATGCCCGGTTTCTATTCTTATTGACCAAATAACCAACCAAACCCAAGCGTTAGTAGAAATTTGGTTTGGTTATGATGGCAACGCCTGGTCCACCATGTTACTACGCGGCGGCGTTGGGGTTTCGCTGGGCGACGTACTCGCGAACGCGCTCATGGGAGAGGGTCACCGAGAACTTGCGGATGGTGGGGCCCAGGCGGTTCTCGAGCTGCGCGTTGAGCGTCTGGCACTTGTTCTGGTTGTTCATGTCGCCCGACGAGCCCCACACGATGGCGCCCGCCATACCCAGGGCGCGGGGGATGGCCAGGCAGCTGCGGAGGTCATCCTGCGGGAACAACAGTACAACTCAACAGACCTCATATTGTAATATGATTCAAATTCAAATTGTGTTTCAGCGGGGGAACTTACATCAGACAAGAAGCTAGCATCGCGGTAGCGGTACCAGAAGTAGGGGTAGACGTAGTTCCGTCCCTGGGCTACTCGGAGCGCCTCTCGGAGCTTGCCAGTGATGAAGAGGAACTGGTCGTCCGAGGAGCGGCCGCTCTTGCTCAGGTACACAGAGGGGAAGAGGGCGGTGCTGGCATTGAAAAGCCACTGGATCCTACAAGAGCGAAGAAAATGCCGATCGATAACAAACATTGATTGGAAGTCAACCGAATAAAACTCCAAACGGTTGAAGTACAAGCAGAAAAATGGTTAAGAAGTTCCAATAACGGTGGGGGTACATTTAAATTTTGGGCAAACCCAACTATTCACAAGAAACCCTTATGCACTGTGCTCATAAACTCTGCAAGCCTGCAAGATTTTGTAGTGATTTACTGTTCTAATTTTTACCCTTAAAAGGATAAAGTGTGTGAAAGAAGTGATTTAACAGTTAAACTATCCATTTCATCGTTATATATAACATTATAACGTTTTTCTTCCATTTTTCTAGGATGGCAGTGCAAGTGAAACAGCTACTCACTGTGAGTTTTGGGTTCTCAGGTTGTCTGAGCAGTCAAAGTTTTCGTCGTTGTTGTTGAAGCAGTACGGGAAAGCGTAGTAGCCCCAGCGGCCGTTGGGTCGTATGCGCTGTGCCAGGAACAAGCTCTGAAGGAAGAAGGCTTTGGCTGCTTCCTCAAACCGGCGCTTCGCCTAGTTATCGGAGAAATCAAGGTATAAAAGTTCAGTAAATGCGAAATAACGGCGTTTGTTTTAAGAGAGCTGGGCAGTTCGCCATACCCTGGTCTGCAGCGTGCTGTCCGATGCAGACGGATCTCTCTGCCTCTCCACCTGCACCGAGTACGTCTGGTACGCCTTCAGGGTGCCAAAGTTCTGCCCCCAAACTGGCCTCCAGGCCTCGAAGTCGATCACGCCGAGACCTAGCAGGGTCGTGTATTGTTAAACAACAGCCAACTATCAAAGTAGTAGACCACCAAATAGTCTACGGATACGCCACGTACCATCAAAGTCGACTGGCACTTGATCCTCGATAGACTCCTGCAAGCGCTGCAGGTGAAGTGTCAAGTTGCCCTCCTGAGGAACTCCACCGTTACGGGGGAAGACAGTTCCCTGTTACAAAATTGATTATGTTCAAGCACGTGCGAGGTACCAAATTGAATTGAATTTGATTTAAGGTACAGATGTTCAAGATCCTAGGTGACACCGCACCTTGGCGACACGATGGATATTTTGGAAACTTCTCTGTTTACCAACCTAAAAATCAACAACAAAAACAGTTGTCCACCGCCAGCAAATAGGACGATTGTATCGCCACAAACCTTCCTATGAGTGGCAAACGGCAACACGTGTGGTGCCAATTGTTCCTCAGCCGTTTGTTTTTTTTGGAAAAATCAACACCTCTCTCCGTTTGAACACAGGGATTTCACAGCATTTAGCACAGTATTTTAGAATATTTTGCTCTATGATTTCATCGAATTCCACAAGATTCCATCGGATTTTACATATGCTTTTTAAAAGCATTTCAATGTAAAATGTAAGGGCAGATTCCGAATGATTTTATTCATGTTTAAGGGTGAGAAATAAGAAAGTCCAAGAAGAAGGAAGGGTAGAAAGAAACCATGTTACTCGCACTGTTACTAGGCAGCGTATAAAGATTCCAAATCATTCAAGAAATATTTGAACGCCGTTTAAAGATTGCTATGCTTTCTTACCCTTTTCTTTTTTGGACGTTTCTTGTTGCGCCCCTGCCCCTTGTTCTTTGTACATGAAATCAAGTTAATCGGTCACATTTATGTAGACTCAGTGCAACCATGAGAAAAGTAAACGTTTGCGCCACGTTAACCCCCTCTTTGTTTTCGAATCAGGACACATGGCCGCGACGGACAAATGCATGCCCATGTTGTACTCACATCGTTGTCCACGAGAGCCGGGTACAGCCCTGGATCGTACAGGATGGTGATGCTGGAGCCCCGGAACACGTCCTCGTCGTTCTGGACCACGCCATAGCGGCCCGTCAGGTTGCTGAAGGGGAACCCGTAGCGGTGGCACATGAAGGATGGCACGTTCCAGAACACTTGGTAGCCGTCTTCCTCGTCGTCGTCGGCCATGGTCGCCGTCGGAGGGAACTGTCCGTGCGGTCGCTGTGGTCCTAGGTCGATCGGCTCTGCGGAGTAGCCGTAGTTCTGGATGTTGGGAGGTGGTCGGGTGCCCGGGGGAAACTGTCCGGACGGCCGCTGGGGCCCCAAGTCGCCGTTGACGCCGGGTGGCCCATTGGGGTCGGTCCCCAAGTCCTTGTCCGGGCGAGCTGGCTGCAGCTCGTCAGCCAGCTTGTGAACGTCGACGATGTCGGCGGCGAGCGGCGTGCCGGTACCCGGGGGGAACTGTCCGGACGGTCGCTGTGGCCCCAGGTCGCCGTTGGCGCTGGGTGGCCCATTTGGGTCGGTCAGTCCCGCGGGCCTGTGTGGCCCTAAGTCCTTGTCCGCACGACCACGGCCTTGCTCCACGGCGTCAGACTGGGTCGGCGGATTGGTGCCTGGGGGAAACTGTCCGGACGGCCTCTGTGGCCCCAGGTCGCCGTTGGCTCCGGGTGGCCCGTTAGGGTCGGTCTGTCCAGCAGGCCTGTGTGGCCCCAAGTCCTTGTCTGAACGGCCACGGCTCTGCTCTGTTGGCAGGTTGTAGACGTCCACGACACTGTCGCTGGGCGGGACCTGCCCGTGAGGCCGCTGGGGTCCAAGGTCCACGCCATAGGGTGGCCCTACCCCGGGTGGGAACTGGCCGTGCGGCCGCTGGGGACCGACGTCCACCGGCGGTGAACCGTCCTGCAGGGGGTAGATGTTGCTGCAAAAGAACGGGTTAAGTTGGATTAGTCCTGTGCGAATCATTTGTTGAAATTGAATCACATTAAACCAAGCCAGACTACGACTAGAAATGTTTGCCTGGCTCGATTCCGAACATATTGACATCACCAATCGGGATGAATCTACTTTAAACCAATGAGTCCAACGTACAATCATATCAGTTTCAAAATTGCATATTTTGTTTCCTAAAGATAAAGCATGACGCATGGCGCCCAAATCAAAGATGACAATAGGCTCAAAAATAAAGACTTTTTTTGTCTTTTGTTTTATTTGGTAATTTTAGTGAAGTCGGGTCGGGCCCTCGAATTTGGGCTAGAGGAACTTTAGGGCTGCTTTAGGGGAAATTTTTCATCTCTGATCAGATGGTGCACAGCTGTGGCAAATACTAGAGGACGTCCAAGATCATAGACGTTCTGAAACGGTAATACTTTTCATGCACGTGCACGACACGCCATCCAACACGGGAGAGGTTGGCAGCATACCTCCACCGCAGGTTCGCCCTGAGGGACTGTACAGTACAGGGCGCCCGCCGGTGGACCACCGATTATGCCTTTGCATAACAGGCTATCTACCCGACTCTCAAGTTCAAGGTCAGAGCTGCGTCTCCTTTCTAGGCGCAGATTATGATAACAGCCTCCGTAACGTTACTAGCGGCTGTTACAACACTAAACTGCAGTCGGGCCCGTCAAGTATAACGCTGGGCGCCCCGGTGCGGGAGGCGGGAGGGGGAAGGGGCGATAACATTGTCACGCCGTGTCCAATTTATAGCCAGTCTTAAACGGTCGGGTGAACGTGTTTTTTCTTTGTTCTCTCTCTCTTTTCTTACCGGTTTTGTCTTGGCCGGGCGTGGCCTGGTGCAGTATGCGTCTCTGCGATAACCCGAATGCATAATCCGCAGATAACCGTTCACACTCCACCTCCACCTGCAGTCGTGGAGTTTTCCCTTTCGCGGCGGAGCGCACGTGCTAGGGCCGAGTGGTTATTGTCCTAATACCATTACCGCCTTTTCTTTACTTAACAGAGTCGACACAGTCAGTGACGCTATCATACCACATATCCACAGGTTTAAAAAAAATGTAACGGTCGCGTCTCCCAAAAAGTTTCCTCTTTTTTATGTTATTACTTTTTTCTGAAATTAAATATGTATTACCGAGAAATAAGAGCTCGCCTGTCGAAAGTATTTGACGCTTTGGAGAATAAATATGCCTCACAATCTAGGACCTAGGTGGGGAAGTGAACATGACACATGTCACTGACCCCCAACTTCCACAACATTCCTAGGTGTTGTAGATAAGAGTAAACCTCACTCATTATAATGCGTCACCGGCGATTCGCATGTTGTCTTATTCAGGGCACGCGAGCGCGGGATTCTCTCCCCCTTACCGGTGACTCAAAATTGTGACGCCTTCAGGTGGAGCAAGTTTAGAAGAAATGAGCGATATGGCTATAAAATGATGACAGTTCATAACGCGCCCGTGAGTCAGTCCGGGACCCTTCCATATCGCTTTGTGTGCGCACGGAGGGTAAGCCCCGCGTTATCTGTGCGTAAGGAGCTCCAGGCAGGTGCTTCAGCTCGAGGGAGTGTCGGCAACAACTTCACAAGTAGTAGTATGAATAAAGTTAACTCCTCCATAGAAAACTGTGGCACATGCACAGAAAATTGCGTGCTTTTCAGAAGGGTATTTATAATTAGAAACAAGTTTATATTTAAAAGCTGGAACTTGGATCCAAGAACATTTGGTACTTGAATCAAGAAGTTTTGTCTCTCTGCAAGTGAAATTGTTTCAAATCAAGTGCAAAAATACTCTGAATCCGATTGAGAGCATTTTGCTCTTGACCAAGAATCCAGCTTTCTGAGAGGAGAATATGCGCGATCCTTGGTGAGATGCATGTGAGACGTTCTTTGATTGGATATAGAGTGGACGTGGGCGCTGCACAATGAGCTCACTTCACCTGACGCCTGGCCTCTGGCCTCCCCCCACTCTCGAGTCCCGGCCCCAGGCTCGTCTGTCGTGTCCGCGAGTTTAAGACACGAGTAATTCTCAATTGTTCTGCATTTGCATCGGTCGGTGCCAAACAAGGAGCGATAGGATGTACGCTCGAGTTGCCGCGCTGTTCACCTCTTCCTGGCGAGGAAGTCCTGCTCACACGGTAACAGCGTGTGTCCTTCCCCGAAGAGAGGCGGTCACTGCGAGAGCTCCAGCAGGCGCGCCGCTGAGCTAGGCTCGTGAGCTCATCCTCACAATGCGCTCTGTGCGCGCCTCGGGCGGTTTGCGGCAGCGATGCCCAATACTCGATGAAGGTGACAATTTGCAGTAAAAACATACGGTCGGCTCGCGCCGCCTCAAGGCTGCACTGGAAAGACAAAGGTTCTAAAGTCGTGCCTTCCATGGACTGCTAAATAAATTTTCAGTTTAAAATGTCTATATAATGGCACTAAAGAACCCTAAGGTGCTAAAAACTACTGCCTTTGACAGTTTTAATGCCTTTGAAAAGGCACTCATCCTTTAGTGTACCTTTTAAAAGTAGGACTTAGCACCTTTGTTCAGTGTGGCAGTGCGGTACGCGTACGACATTTTCCATTGAATTTTTTCCAGTACTCGGTCCGACATTTTTAGAGTGCCTTTGTGCTCTCCATGTTTGCAAATATCAGTATGTGAGAAGCGAACGAAAAAGTTGACGATGCGTGTAGTAAGTGGCGGGAACAGGATGAGATCAGGGAAACAGGTGGCACATGGCCGGGTGAACTTGAACTGCCGCCGAGGGCCGCCAGAGGACCCTGCCCCCGCGTCGGGTAGCAAGGACGACGGCGAGGGGGAGGGAAGGAGGTGGGGGGACAAGATCCCGAAAGGAAGTGGCTCGTCTTCACAGTCAAAAGAGGGCCCGCGGGAAACGCTAGCGCTCTGCGCCTTGCCCTCTCGTGACCAGGATCAGGTAACACACATCACTGGAGTAGGTCACTTGCTGTGGCCCAACGCAACCCTCAGGACCTACTACATCAAGAATCCGCCCCAGGCCATGTCACCCAAAGCTCAAATAATCCCAAATTAGGAAAAGAATTGCTGGGTGGTTTATAGACGGGCTTTTGCTCTGAAACTGCACTGACGCCTACTCTGCCTACTCTGCATATAACATTTTTATTTTATACCGAAACTGATAAGAACTTTTGATTAACGTAAAGAACACAAGACTCGTCAGGGAAGTCCCCATCGCTACTCACTTGTCCACGTCGGCGGCGCGGGCGTGCGCGAGCAGGGGCAGGAGCAGGAAGAGGACAGACGCCGCGGCGGCGGTGCTGGCCGCGGGGAACGCCATGGGGCGGCGGTGGGACACTTTTTGTAGCAAGTCGGGCGCGCGCGCTGCAGTGTCCGCTCGAGGCGAGGTGGCGTGGAACTGGCCGGTCTCCTTGCCCGCCATAACATTTAAACGCGTCGCGCAGAAGCGCCGCCCCGGCCGCCCCCCTCCTCGGCAGCGCGCGCCGTGCTCCCGGGTCGTGCGTCGGCCGCGCCACGCCTCCTTACTCGACATGGCCGCGCTCGCTTCGCAATGCTTCGCAGCACATAAACGTCAACGGACGTCTTTTCGGATTCCCACAACGTGATTGACCTCTGCATTAAGACAGATTATCGACCTATGTTTTACGCTATTTTAACGAGGTACATATAGGTGTGCACCGGACAACGTGTCGCAAAACACTAGAAGCACCGTGGGAAGCTGACACCCGAGTACACTCAAAATGGAAAGGAATAATTTGTCCAAAGCAAGAAGCATCTGTGTGCACTTCTTGCAAATTACGTCCTAAAAGATGTGCACACAGACGCATCTTGCAATGGACAAAAATTGTACCATGCCATTGAAAGGGTAAAGGGAGATACGGAGGTGAGAGCTTTTATTGAGCCCACACACCCGCACTCTCGCATTGTCACTGTCGATGACGCAATCCCTGCAAAATCTGGGTGCAGTGCCTATAGAGCCTAGAGCGGTGCGAGTGATATGGCGTATAGCGAGGGGGCCGCCACTCCTGAAATCATGTGTACGCCCTCCCTGAAATCCTCCTGAAATCATTTGCAATCCACCTGCAATCATGAAATCATACGTAATCTGCCAGCAAATTTTAGTCTGAAATCCTTAGAAGGGCATGTAAAAACCGCAAGAATCACGTAAAATCCGCCGGAATCTTGTGAAATCCGCCGAAATCCGGTAAAATCCGCTGAAATCATCTGTAATCCTTCAAATCAGACATAATCTGCCGGCAGGTTTTAGCGTGAAATCTTCTAAAATAATATGCGAAATCCGTGAAATCATGTGAAATCACGCAATCTTTGCAATCATGTGTACATCCAAAGAGAGAGTGGTGGCCCCCTCGGCGTATAGTTCTGATTTTGTCGGATTTATTTCTATACAGGCGTGGTTTTAATGGGGATGGCGAAGGGTTGGTCCCACCCCCTTCCCCGGTCGCCCAAATCACCCCCTAGGGTAGGTGGGCATTTTCCCCTACGAAACCCCTGAAAGTAGGCAACCCACAGTCAAACAGACATAAAACCTCACCTGTTTCTACGCAACAGTAAAGGTTTTTGTAGGATTACAAAGTTGTCGTTCGACACAAAACTAATTGTCACAGGCTTCAGCGCCTGCGAAACTCAGGATAGGCCAACCCGCAGTACACGCATGCACTGGGGGCAAGATGTTGCCTACCCATCAGGTTCTACGGAGTGCTTGGATCGCAAAGGCACACCAAACTAAGTAAAAATCAAAGTGATTGGACTTCAATAAAACCATAAAAAACTGGACTGGCTGAACTTGATAGTTTCGTAATGGCAAATATGGGGGGCGTGCTTCCTGAACGATCCCTCACAGCACGAGTCGAAAATTTCAGTTAAAGAACAAGTTTATTACTTAGCACAAAATGAAATTTGTGTTCTATATATTTTTGTTTATTTCGCTCACAACATAGGCCTGAAGCATTCCGGTAAAGTTCCAAAGAAAAATTTAGGGAACCTGAGCCACGTCCTCGGCTGGGCTGACAAGGGAACTCATCTAAGTGTTAGTCCCCGATTTTGTTCCGCCTTGGAGGTTTTGTTTAGTGACCGTATTCGAAACGATTGGCAATGAAAATTCGTGCCCAATTTCATATTTATATTTATAGGGGAAATCCATTTTCTCTAGAAATGACTAAAAAATGCATTTTTCCTGAAAAAAACAAAAATGACCGGAAGTTTGTATTTGTATTCGGCCTTAAATCGACATTTTAAAACTGAATACATACAAGCTGTGAATAATTTTTGGGTTTTTCAGAAAAATGCTTTTTTTAGTCATTTTTGGAGAAAGTGGATTTCCCCTATAAATTTAAATATGAAATTGGGCACGAATTTTCATTGCCAATCGTTTTGTATACGTTCACCCTACAAAACCCCCAAGGCGGAACAATATCGGGGATTAACACTTAGATGAGTTCCCTTGTGAGGTACCCCCCACTCGAAAGTTCGGGGAAGCCACGGGTCCAGGAATTCAAATCAGCTGCTATCTTAAAGAACTCTTTGCCACCTGAAGCTGAGATCAGCGTCAGCTCGGCACTCCTAAACAGTCGCTCGCTGCTCGGCTGCACCAACACGGCACCCGACGCGATGCGGTGGATGTGGTCCAACCATCGGACGGCTCCGGCTGGACCAAACACTTTGGGACAAAGTGTGGCATAATTGCGGTCCGGCCGGCTAGGCAAAGTGTCTTCTCCGGGGGCGGGTCGGTCCGACGCTGCTGCCATATGCTTCACTGCGTCGGAAGTGAGGTAAAGGACCCCGAACGGCAGGACACGCTTCGTCCGCACCGTCCATCACTTACAGGACAGAGTTTGCACCCCACCTCGCCCCGCCTCGCCTCTCCCCATCACGCCCCGCCACGCCACGCCAAGTAGTTCACCTTGCTGCCTCTGGGCGGTCCCTCCGGTTCCCTCCAGTTCCGGCGGCGCGGGGAGGATTCCCCGACGCTCACCGCTCCGCTTTACATGGAAAAGAGTACTGCGCCCTTCGGTGTCCAGTTGGCATGGACACACTCAGAAAAAGCGTTCTGTCCACGGAACGGAATAAGAGCGTCAAAGGAAGTCATAACCAACTTTGATCATGGCGATTGGATGATCTCGTCATGTAGATTGGTGTGTGATCGGTTTGATGATATTTTTGTTGCATCCACAACTATGTTGCATGCACAAATTTTTATGAATGATTGTGTACAAAGTGTGCATAATTATGCACACTGTTCGCACATACAATTATGCATAATATTATTATGGCTGTATAAAATTCTGCAAGTTTTAGGCACAACAAAGTGCATGAGGATTTAGTGTGCATAAATTACAATTAATTCAAATTTCTGATTAAACATTATTTTTTTAGCTCTACAAAGTAAATTGTGTTCTTTACAAGTTTGTTTTCGTTCTGCTGACAAATGGATTTTCTGCTCGAAAAAAAAAGAGTTAGCCAAAATAACTAAGGCTACTAATGGCCTTAGATCACAATATTAGCTTGCTTTTATTGTTATTGCTAATTTTTTAGCTCTCTTAGCTAGTAATTTGCTGGGCGAGCCAATATTAGCCATATTAGCGAATGCACTAGCCAATTTAGCTGATGCCTGTTTTTCCGCGTGAGTGCAGGACAAGACCGCGATCGCGAGACGGAGTGAAAGCGAGTGCCTGAGCCTGAGAGTGAGGTGAGTGCGAGAGCGGGTAGGGATCGTCACACGAATGGCGCGTGTCTGTCGCACATATAGCAGAGCTCTACGACACCTCAACAACGGTTCCGAGTACCGAATGGATGACAACCATATCACCGCGTCCGCGGAAATGAGACGCACTGCACAGGCGCCGCAGCCGCAAAAGCGCGCAAAAGCGCGCAAAAGTCGCGCGAGAGCAAAGAGGTGGAGGTGCGGGCGTGATCGTCGTGATGTCACAGTGAGCGGCACCGGGAGATGAAAGTGAAAGGAGGGGGACGCGGAGCAAATAGGGAAGCCAGGAGTCGGCGACGCGGACGCGGCCCGCCAGCCGGCCCCGCAGCGGCGCACGCGGGTGAGAGCGAGAGCGGCGCGGGCCGAGGGAGAGAGAGGCCAGCCTGTGTTTGCCGCCCGGGGACGCAGCCGCTGCGGGTCGCGCGGGAATCCCACGGCCAAGGTCGCGGGCCCCCGGCACAGCAGCGCGCGGCGCGCACATGTCGGATGGTGTGGTCATTCCCTCCGGGAGGAGGGCGGGGTGCCGGGGGGAGGAGGGGGGAGGGAAGGCGCGCGGGCTACATGTGCCTCTATAGAGACCCCGACCGCCCGCGACTGCCCGTGTGAGTGTGTATTGGGCACCGGCGGAAACCCGCTCGGCGGTGTTTCCACATCGTTCGGTTATTCCTTCCCCAGAATCCTTCATTGCCAAGGCGGGGCGGCGGCGGGCGGCGGGCGGCGGGCGGTGGACGAGGCAGGTCGACGGGTGCGTAACGGGGTGCTTTGGCGCTGGGAATACGGCTCTT